AGCAGAGAATCCTGAGCCTAGGTGATAGGAAGACAATAGGGAATGGTGAGGACTGGGATGAACTGGTAAGTGCACGCCCAAGCTTGAGTTGCAGCTGCTGCTCTGCTCCAGCCCATTTTAGCCATATGTGAAAGTGAGTCAGACATTATGATTTTTCCAGAGAAGACAGAGATTTAGATTTTTATGTGAAATTACAATTAAAAATTTTTTAATTAATTTTTTATGTTGAAATAATTGTAGATCACATGCCATTGAAAGAAATAATACAGAAAGGTCCCTTGTACTCCTTACCCAGTTTCCGCCAATGGTAACATCTTGCAGTATTACACCCAGGGTTGATACTGATAAGGTCAGGGTACAGAATATTTCCATCAGCACAATGATCCCTCATGTTGCCCTTTTTCAGCTGCACTCACTTCCCTCCTATCCCCCACCACCTCTTAATCCTTGGCAATCACTAATATGTTCTCCATTTCTATAATTTTGACTTTTCTAGAATGTTATTTAATGAAATTATACACTATATTGGGATTGGCTTTTTTCATTCAGCATGATTACCTGGAGATTTGTCCAGGTTGTTCCATGTATCAAAAATTTGTTCCTTTTTATCGCTGTGTAGTAGTCTGTGGTATGGATGTACCATGGTTTAACCATTCATCCATTTGAGGACATCTGGGTTGTTTCTAGTTTGGGGCCTTTATGAATAAAACTACTTTAAACACTTTTGTGCAAGTTTTTGTGTGAACATAAGCCTTCATTTCTCTGGGATAAATGCCCAAGGAGCCAATTGCTGGCTCATATGGTAGTTGCATGTTTTGGTTTTTAAGGAACTGTCAAATTGTTTTCCAGAGTGGCTTGAGCATTTTGCATTCCCACCAGCAATGTATGAGGGACCCAGTTTCTCTGCATCTTCACCAACATACAGTGTGGTCACTATTTTTTACTTTGGCCATTCTGATAGATTTGTACAGATCTCTCCTTGTGGTTTTAAATTGCATTTTCCAAGTGGCTAATGACATTGAACATCTTTGCTTGTGCTTATCTGTCATCTGTATATCCTCTTTTGTGAAATGTCTGTTCATGCCTTTTGCCTATTTTCTACTTGGATTTTTTTTTTTTTTTACTGAATTTTGAGAGTTCCTTGTTTATTCTAGATACTAGTTCTTGGTTATATGTGTGTTTGCAAATATTTTCTACACTCTGTAGATTGTCTTTACATTCTGCTAACAGATTCTTTATAAAAAGAATTTTGATAAAGTCAATTTATCAAGTTTTCCTTCTATGGATCATGCTTTTGTTATCCAATTTAAGAACTCTTTGGCAAGTCTTAGATCCTAAAGATTTTCTATGATTTTTTTAATAGTTTTATAGTTTTACATTTTACATTTTACATAGTAATCCATTTTGAGCTAGTTTTTTTTCTCAATTATGTCAGCACCATTTCTTGAAAAAGCTATCATTCCCCCATTGAATTGCTTTTGCACCTTTATCAAAAATATATTTCTGTGAGTCTATTCCTGGGTTGTCTATTACATCCCACTCATGTAGGTGTTTCTCTCTTTGCCAACTCCATTTATGTAGGCCTTCTTGGATATCGTTTATCAGCACTGAGTAATTTTCAGCATACGAGTCCTGTACGTGTTGCCGTAGATTTCCATCTAGGTATTTCAGTTTTTTTGAGCAATTGTAAATGATATTGTATTTTTAATTTCGATTTTCACGTATTCATTGCTAGTACATAAAAATACAATTGATTTTGTATGCTTATCTTGAATATTGAGACTTTGCTGAGCTCACTTATGAAATCTGGCAGGATTTTGTTTTCTGTTTTTGTAGACTCCTTGGGATTCTCTACGATCATCATGTCGCTGCTAAAAGAGAAAGTTTTAGTTCTTCCTTTCTGATCTACATGCCTTTTGTTTTCTTTTCTTGCCTTACTGCCCTGACTAGAACGTCCAATGCTGTGGTGAATGAGTGTGGTGGGAGCGGACATCCTGCCTTGATCTCGATCTTAGGGAAAAAGCCCTGTCTTTCACCATTAGGTATACATTAGTTGTGGATTCTCAGAGAAGTTCTTCATCAAGCTGAGGGAGCTCCTCTCTGTTACTATTTTTCTGAGAGTTTTGAGTCATAAATGAGTGTTGAGCTTTTCCAAACACTCCTTTGGCTTCAGTTGATATGAGCATATGATTTTTCTCTTTAGCCTGTTAATATGGTAGATTACATTGATTTTCAAATAATGAATCAGTCTTGCATCCCTGGAAAAAAACCACACTGGGTCATAGTTTATAATTCTTTTCATATATTGCTGAATTTTATTTGCTAATATTTTGTTAAGGATATTTATATTTATGAGAGATATTTAATTTCTGTGTGTAATTTTGTTTTTCTGTGCTTTGTCTAGTTTTGGTGTCAGGGTAACGCTAGCATCAGAAAATGAATTGAGAAATGTTTTTCTTCCTCTTCTTTTTGCTGGAAGAGATTCTGTGGAGTAGATGTTAATTCTTTAAATGTTTGCTACAATTCTCCAGTAATACCATTTGGGCTTGAAGAGGTTTTTTCAAATTACTAATTCAGTTTTCTTAAGAGTTACAGAACTGTTGGATCTCCAAAACCCTATAGATATAAAACAGGCTGATAAAACTATTCAGCTGCAAACCAGTGCCACCATTCGTGAGAGAGAAAGGTTAACCCCAAGGGTGGAGCCCTTAGCTCAGAGAATGGAGCCTTGAGCCGTAGAGGACATGAAACGTAATGAAATTTGTCCTGCTGGATTTCAACATTGCTTGGGGGCCAGCCCTGTGGCGTGGCAGTTAAGTTCGCATGTTCCACTTCAGGTGGCCTGGTGGGTTCGGATCCCCGGTGTGGACCTACGTACGCACTGCTTGTCAGGCCACGCTGTGTCAGGCATCCCACATATAAAGTAGAGGACAATGGGCGCGGATGTTAGCTCAGGGCTAATCTTCCTCAAAAAAAAAAAAAAAAAAATCAAAATTGCTTGGGACTTCAATTTTCTTCCTCTCATTTTCCCTTTTGAATGGAAATGTCTATAACTGCTATCCTATGCCTGTCATATCATTGTATTTTGGGAGCAGATAACTTGTTTTCTAGTTTTACAGGTCCATAGGTAGAGAGGAATTTTGCCTCAGGCTGGATTGTAACTAGAGTCTTCCCCATACCTGTTTAAATGACTTAGATGATAAGATTTGGGACTTTTGAGCTGGTGAGAATTTGAACTTTGAGTTGATGATGTAATTGGTTGAGACTTTTGAGGACTTTAGGATGTGGTGAATGTATTTTGTATGTGGGACAGGCGTGCATCTTTGGGAGCAGAATAATGGCCCCCCAAAGATACCCACACCTAGTCCTGAGAACTTGTGAATATATTGTCTTACATGGCAAACAGGACTTTACAGATGTGATTAAGGATCTTGAGCTGGGGAGATCATCCTCGGTTCTCCCAGTGGATCCAATATACCCACAGGGGTTCTTATAAGTGAAAGAGGGAGGACAGGAGTCAGTGTCAGAGTGACGTGAAATGAGAAAGACTTGACCAGACATTGCTGGCTTTGAAGATGGGAGGGATCCATAAGATAAGGAATGAGGAAAGCTTGCAGAAGTTGGAAAAGCCAAGGGAGCATCCACAAAGTAATGTAACCTTGACACACCTTGGCATTTGCCCATGTTGAACTTCTGATCTCCACAACTTTAAGATAATAAATTTTTATGGATTTCAGCTACTAAATTTATGATAATTTGTCACGGTAGCAATAGAAAACTAATTTAAGTCCATACACTGAGATTTACTTTGATTGCCGTATTTTTCAGTTCTAAAATTTCCATTTGGTTCTTTTTTATATCTTCTATTTCTTTGCTGACACTTTGCATTTATTTGCTGGGGCTTTCTATTTTTTTGTCTTGTTTCAAGCAGGTTCACAATTGCTCAGTGAAGTCCTTTTATCACGGGCTGCTTTAAAATCTTTGTCAGATAAATCTAACGTCTCTGTCATCTTGGTGCTAGCACGACTGAATGTCTTTCTTTATCCAGTTTGAGATCCTCCCAGTTTTGGGGGTGTTGAGTGATTTTTGATTGGAATCGGGACATTTTGGTATTATTTTATGAACCTCTGGATTTTATTTAAAGCTACTCTTTTAGGTGGCCTCTGCTGACAACAATCTGGCAGGGGAAGTGGGGCTGCCATTTTGTCACAGTCAGGCGGGAGTGGAAGGCCAGGTTCACCACTGGCCTCCACTGACATTCAAGTGGTGGTGGGTAAGGAAGCTCCTTGTTCCTGCTGGTGGGGTGGGAATTCTGGTGGTGAGGGTGTCCTCATCACCACTGGGTGGTGGTGACAGTTCTGTTTCTTCCCTAGGCCTCTGCTGACACCTCCCCATTGAGGAGTGGGAGGTGTGCCTCCTTGCTGCTGGAGAGACTCCCCGTGTCGGGGGAGGTTAGGGCTGCCCATCAGTTATGGTGGATGAAAGGCCTGGCTCTCTGCTTGGCCATCTCTGACAGCACCCGGTGGGGTGGTTTGGAGGCCTCATTATAACCTCTCAACAGGGGAAGATGAGGTTCCCCACTTGGCTTGGCTGCTGTGGGTGGGGCTGGGCTACAGTTTTTTCTGTGGTCTGGCTGGAGTGGAGCAGTTATTATCTAAATGTTTTCTGTCTTGTTAGACTGCCTGGCTTTTTGTCTTTTGGCTGGGAAAAGCAGGCTTTTCTTGGGGCCTTTTTTGTCTGCACCTGCTGGCATTTCTGGATTGCGGGCTGCTTTACTTCCAACTCTGGGACGTATGAGTCAAAACGAAAACCCAGGGAACTCACTACTCTGTCGTTCCTCAGGTCCTGAGATCCATTTCTGAGCTGGCCTCGTCTCTTCATTTTTCAGAGTCCCATGTTTGTTTTATATATGATGTCCAGGGTTTTTAATTGTACTTAGTGGGAGGAATAGAAAAAAGTATGTCTGCTCCATCTTCCTGGAAGTGAAAAATCTCTCTTCATTTTTTATTGTTGGTAACTAGTTAAAAATAAAATGAACACATTTTGGGAAGGAGTGGCAAAGGAAAGAAATCTATTGACTTTATTTGGTCCACGCTGTCAGTTTGTGATTTCTATGTTAACAGAAGGAATGAAAATGTTTACTTGTGCATGTGGCTGCCTGGGGTGGAGAGATGTGGCAGGAAAAAGGGAGGGACAGCAGAGAGATAACTGGAGCTGGGGGATCCACAGGGCCTGGCCTGGAAGTCAGGTGCATCTGACACAGACCACAGCGGGTCTGTGGAGGGACGGCTCCCCCATTCTGCGAAGACCTCCTCGTCCTTGAAAGTCCCTGCAATCAAGTTTGCTAGAGGCACTGCTTTGGAATTTTTTCTTTAATTACCTACTTAAAAAAGAATGTTTTCCTGATTATAAAATTAATACAGCTTTATGTTGGAAAATTAGGAAAACTCAGAGAAGGGGAAAGGAGGAAAGAATGCCTCCCTAAACCCTTTTTCTAAAGACACCTCAAATATTTTGGTGAGCTTCCATCCAGTCTTTTTATCCACCTGTCTATCCACCTATGTAAACAAAATTGTGGCTCTTTTTATACACTTTCAACTAGCTTTCCCCTCTACTTTAATTTTGTTATGAATGTATTCCCTTGTCATTGAATAACTTGGAAACTGTGATTTTTGATAACTCCACTGTATTCAATTATTTGAAATTTAGCAACAATTCTGTTGAATGTTTTATGTTTAAAATTTCTCACTATTATGGATAATGCTGTGATGAGAATGCTTGACCACACGTCTGTCTCATTAATTCCTGGAAGTGAGAATACTTGAGCAAAGGGTGTTTAAGGCTTGATTTTTATCATCAACTTCTTCTCCAGAAAGACTACCAATTTACATTCCTGTCACCAGCAGTGGAAAATTCTTGCCTCATTGCAGCCTTGTGGGCATTGAGTATTATCATTTTAAAAATCTTTGCAAGTTTAAAGGCAAAAAAAGTATCTTATTGTCATCTAAAACGCATTTATGTTATTATGAATAGTGTTAAACATGTTTTCTCTTTTTTGCCTTGTTAACTTTTCTGATAACTGCTTTTTGTTATTTGCACATTTTTTCCTACTGTAATTTTCTTCGTAACGGTTTGCCTGGTAGATGTGTTACAGGGATATTTTCCAGTTTGTCATTGCTTTTTAATTTTGTATGTGATGATAATTGACATAGAACGGTTTACAGTTTCAAATCTACCATTCTTTTATTTTGATTCCTACCAAGCTTTTATGCCTAGAAAGGTCTTTCTCTACCTGTTCCATTTATCTATTGCTGCATAACAAATGACCCCAAATTTACTGCTTAAAACAATAATCATTTAATTATATTTATATTTGTAGGGCAGGGAACTGGGTAGGGTCAGCTGGTGATTTTTCTGCTTCACTCGGTGTGGACAGAAGGCATTCAGTGTTAATCAGCTGACTGACTAGGAGAGTCCAAGATGGCGTCACTCACATGTCTGGGGCCTTGTGGGGACGGCTAGAAGCCTGGGCTCAGCAGGGACTGTCCACTGAGTGCTTCCTTGTGGCCTGTCCGGCACGGAGGCCTTGGGGTAGTTAGAATTCTCACATGGCAGCTCAGAGCTCCAACAGTGAGTGTTCAGCAAACAAAGCAGACGCTGTAAGCCCCTTTATGACAGCCTGGGACGTCAGCTGCTCTGTCAGTCGGGGCAGCCTCAAGCCTTCCCAGATTCAAGTGAGCTTCGTGGGAGATGTAGTGTAGAATTCGTGGCCATATTTTCCTATTGCCTCTTTACCCCACGGTAAGTTAAATGCACATTTACATTTTTTTCCTAGCCTGTTTATGCTGCTGTTACTGGTCTCTTTCTTTTTCTTGCTTTTTATAAACATTAAATTCTTAATCCGTCTAGAAAGTAGTTTTACACAGACTTATAATGAGGTTCAAATTTGAATATTTCCCATTAATAAATGATTTCACTATAACCATTTCATGAATAACCATCTCTTTCCTGAGGGCCACTAACTTTTATAGATACTAGGGCCTGTGTAAATATATTGTTAATTGAGGAAAAATACCCTTCACCTTTCTCTTGACTTTTCTAGCATTCTTCTTCCTCAGGTAAGGGAGAACCTCCTGGTTAAGATCAGCTTACAGTCTGACAAGCACCAACCACAGCACTGTGGCTGGGCTGGCCAGCAGTGGTCTTTCTGGAAGGTCTCTCTCTGTGCCTCTGGGCCTGGCTGTAGACCTAACTGGAGGGGTTCCTACTTTTCAGTCTACTTTTCACAATATCGGGCTCTCCCACTGTGGCAGGGCCGTTTGCCTTGGGCTGCTGCCCTCGGGTGTGTCTGAGGTGGTTTTGTTGTTGTGATTCCAAGTGCAATAGTTCCTGGGGAAGATTGCTTCTGTGATGAAGTAACTTGACTGCTTCTAGGGCGAGAAGCATTAGCTTGCTTTTGTTAATGAACTTTGTTAACAAAGAGGGAAATTCCAGTGCCTGGGGTTGTTTCCCCAGAACCTCCGTGTCTGTCTGGGTGATGTCTAATGCTGGCTCCACCCAACATTCCTCCATCCCACGGGGACCCTCTGTCCTGGCTCCCAGCTTCCTCACCCACATCTCTACTTCCTCCTCTCTCTACCATGGAGAAGTGCAGAGCTAAGCTATGCTGTGGCTCTCTCAGTACTGTGTCCTTCTGCTTGGTCATCCATTTCATTAATAGCTACCCACACTATTGCTGCTGCTACCCACCTCCTTCTGCATCCCATATTCTGTTAGCTCTACTACCTTACCTTACTGAATTCCACCCAGCAGTTTGGTGAGGTAGCTGCTGTTATTCCCACTTTAGAGATAAGTGGATGGTGGCTTAGAGATATTAATGCATTTGAGCCATGTAGTTAGTAAGTGGTGGAGCGGGAACTTTAACTTTGGTCACCTGCTGAATTTTTAAACGCTGAATGATACTTGCTCTCTTCTCTCATCTTAATCCCCAGTTCCTAACTATGGATGGGCATTTCCACTTCTCTTCCCTCAAAAAGGGCCACACACAGCTGATACCATGGGCCCTAGGAGAAGGACACCTGGCGAGGACATCTAATCCTGTCTGGCAGGAACATTTGAGACTCAGGACTCCTGAAAGTTTACTTACCTCATCCCTCCGCTTTCAGCCAACTCTTGCTGACAGGTAGAGGCCTCCTTCTCTTAGACAAGACACAGCAGAGGCACTGGACTCCCCTTTGAAAACTCCCAGCTGTTTTCTCAGGGGAGTTTTCTGTGTAACTTAACTCTGAAGCCCCATAACTCACTTCTTCTTTTCTAGGCTCTTCCAGAGAAAGTTTGCCCTGTGACCTGAGCCAGAACACACCCCAACCCTCTCTGGAGAGAAGCAGAGTCGGGGAAAGAAGAGATTTCATAGTGTGGACAGTGTTGGCTCTTCAGCGCCGAGGCCTCTCGAGCGTTGGTTTGCGTTTCTCACAGGCGGAGAGCACAGCAGGAAGGCCTGCTGCAGGAAGAGGAAGGACTTAAGGGGGAGGACTTCCAGGCAGGGAGGAGGTAGACAAGTCAGAGGAGGCTCCCAGAGGCTGTGTCCTTTTCTGCCTTTTGGCCTTTCTGAGAATAGCAAGATGGAGATCTGAGCTTTTAGCTCCCAAGGTCCTGCCAGATCCCAGAAAGCACAAATCGGAGATGGGCCAACCTAAGGTAAAGTGAATAAATAATGAGTGATCAGGGAGCTGCAACCTGACCATCAAATTTTATGCTTAATTTAAATCTTAGAGAGGAAAACTTATAATCGTGTCTTCAGGCTCAGTTTCCTAACATATTTCTCTTTGTAAAAGTACTATTTTTTTCATAAGCAACTGGAAGATTTCAAGTGTTTCCAAAGAACCTTTATAAAATCCCTAGCAGAGTCTCCAGTAAAGCTGTAAATTGTATTTCTTGTCCTTAAAAAAAATTATTGTGTTCTGTTCTCCAGAGGGAGGAATTGGGCAATTTTGTATGAGGGACTGAAACTCAGGCCAAATATCACCATTTCAGTCTTGACATTTATCTGGAATCAGGATGTGCATACCATCAAACCATGTGACTTGGCACTACAAGAAGATTTTGTTTTCTTTACACTGGTGAGCCTGCTTCCGTACTTTGTAAACTAGAGATCCTGGCAAGGCCTTGCTCCTAGCCCACATGGGTATCGATGGTAGAGCCTTTCTGAGGAAATGCTTTTGGAGGGGCTTTATCTCTTCAACCAGAGTATAGCTCTGACTAAGCAGAATCTTTGTCTTAGAATGGTTTGATTTTTCTAAGCCTAAAATTGGCGTAATTTCACTCATTCCTTCCTTAGAGAGATCAATGGCGCCAACCTTCTCTGTTGCAGACACTGTTGGTTGCCTACCAGGGAGCCATTTCTCCCTTTCTACCTTGCTGTCAAAAGCCTGATTTTGGTTGCCCTCCTCTTAGGAGTTATAGGGGTTATGCCCTTTTTAGGGACTACCCAACCCTAGAGGGTGAGCCTTTATTGATTTTGGCCATTGTGGTAGCCTTGCCTTGCCTAGCAATTGTTTAAGCATGGGTAGATTGGGCTGATTCTGGCCAAGCAGACATGAGGGACGTCTGCTGGAGGAACACAAGCCAGGGGCATTCCTTTTTTCTTTCTCTGAAGATTGTTGACAGTATGTGAGGCCCAACCTACATCAGATCTTGGGACTGTGGGAGAAAGCTGCAGAACAGCTGAGTTACATCCATGATGTCTCTATGTCAATGAATTAACCTACTCTGAAACTGTCCTACCTCCAGACTTCACGTGATGCAAATAATAAATATTCTTCTTGTTTAAGCCACTTGTAGTTGGACCTTCTATCCTTTGCTGCCCAAAGCATCTTACACTGTGCGAGGTGCTTGAGAAAGAAGGAAACATGGTCTTTGTCCACAAGTAGCATACAATCTAGGTAACCAGTCTCAGCTTCCACTTTCCTGTCAGCCCCAATCTTAATCCCCTGATGGTTTGAACATCTCCTTTCGACTCCTAAATTATGGCATCACTGTAGTATAAATGCACGCATGCCAGCTGCTCTTACATATATCCCACATGATCTCCTTATTATCATGATTAAGGAATGTAGTCAGTTTAAGTCGGCGAAGAGGTATCAAGCACCTACTACGAGCCAGATGGTGTGGGTGTACAAAGGTGGATGAGATATCCTGTAACCCTAGGAAACAACAGCTTAGTGGGGGCTATGTAATTTGCACACTGAAAGTCAGAGCAAGCATCGAGGTGACAAGCAGCATTTGAATGGTGCAGACAATAAATGCTAGGGGAGTTATTCAGTTCAGCACATATTTGTTGAGCACTTCCATGTGTCAGGTACTGACTCAGGTCCCTGGGACACAGGAATGAATAAGTTCATTTTCCTCCCTTACAGGAGCTAATGGTGAAATAATAATGATACAGTCATATTAATTATATTAGCTAACAGTTATTGAGCACTAATTATTATTAAACACTTCTATGTGCTTTCCGTATGATAGCTCATTTATTAATTAATTCAATTCTGTGAGGTAGATACTAATATTATCCCCATTTACAGATGAGGAGACTGAGGCATCCAGAAGCTAAGTAAGTTTCCCAAGGTGGTCACAGAGTTAGTGTGATAGGCAACATATTAATGGAAACTCTGTTTACCAATCTTAACTATAATACAATTAGACATGGAAAAACTGGGATCTTCAGACAGAGGAGATATGGTAACAAATGGACTGCGAGCCCACTATGGGACAGCAAGGAGGTTAGGTTGCCTACACATTCCCCCAGCACAGCTGGAAACCATGGAGCCCCAGACCTCGGGATGGCTGTGAGATTGTGATTTATGGTAAGAAATATATCATATTGGTCTTGTCCCTTTTCCCAGCACAGAGCTCTGAAAACCCTTGGAATTTCCTAAGAGATGAGAGTGATAAAGATGAAAATGGAGTCTTTCATTATTCGTAACAAGCCTCTTTCAACCACACCTGAGTTTGTTAATGAACTGATTTTTGGAAAACTCTTAGATAACTTCACAATGGGAGCTGGTTGCCAGGAAAACCAACCACAGAATTAGAGGGTTGGAAGTTTTAGATCCTCCACCTCTGCAGAGAGGAGAAGGGCTGGAGGTTGAATCAATCGTCAATAGCCAATGATTTAATCAATCATGCCTGTGTAATGAAACCTCTATGAAAATCCCTAAGTACAGGATTCAGAGAGCTTCCACATTGGTGAACAAGAATGCCTCCAGGTGCCGGGAGGGTGACACACCGCCAACTTCACGAGGACAGAAGCTCCTGCTCTAGGAACCCTTCTGGACCTTGTCCTATGCGTCTCTTCATATGGCTGTTCACTTGTATGCTTTAATATCTTTTGTAACAAGTCAGTAATAGTAAACTGTTTTCCTGAATTCTGTGAGCCATTCTAGCAAATTATCAAACCCGAGGAGGGGGTCATGGGAACCTCCAATTTATAGCTGGTCTGTGAGAGCACGGGAGACAGCCTGGGACTTGTGACTGCCATCTGAAGGGAAAGTGGTCCTGTGGGAACCCATGCTGTCTCTAGGGAGATAATGTCAGAACTGAGTTGAATTGTAGGACACCCCGCTGGCGTCAAAGAATGGCTCGGTGTGGGGCAAACCCTCACACATTTGGAGTACAGAGGTGTTCTGTTGGGGAGAGAAGGACAGGGTTTTCTCTTTCAGCAGCATATGACCTACATTTCATAGAGGGTACAATCTGCCACCTACTAAGCTGTGAGCTCTAAAATGAGTGGTTTCTTTCGATTGTAAGGACATATTTCTCCCAGGAACAGGGCTCTTGAATTCACCGTGATTCCCAACCTGCCCTCTGTACATTTTCCTTCATTCCTGGTCCATTTCATACCTTATTCTGCTGGTTGGAACCAATTAATCTGTCCCCTGCCACACACATACACTTACCTGATATCCCAAGATGTTTCTAGCGCTCTTCTTAGAAGAAAATGCTCCTCAGCCTGAGATGGGCAAATAGGAAGGAGAGCCAGAGAGCAAGGGATAAATTCTCTCAAGGCATTCATTCATTCACTCATTCATTCATCCATTCAACGAGTGTTTCCTGAGGCCCTCCTTGGCGTAAGTTCTGTAGTCGGCACTAGAGACCCAGTCAGGAACAAGGTTAACATGGTGTGTGCTCTCAGGCATTTTCAGTCTACTGAGACAGACCCAGAAGGCAACAAAACACTCAATTATAAATTCCAATAAGAGCTGCAAAGGATAAAGTATAGATAATATAAAAGAGACAAAAGGTGGGGGGCAAATCTACCACATTTTTGTGGTCAAGGAAGGAGGTCACATTAATACAAGACCTGATGGTAAAAAGAGACTTGTGTGTTCAAGAAATTGATTAAGATAGGTCCTGTGGCTGGCATATTGAGGGAGAGGAGAGAATTAGGAATCAGGAAATGAGAATGGAGAAGTGGGCAGGAGCTGTGGGAAGGGTTTTGGATCTTAGGGAGAAGTCACAGGAAGGCAACATGCAATGTCAACTCCCTCATCTCTGTCAGAAACGACATCATGTCCCTTCTAGAGTGAGGGAAAGAATGCTGGAGTGGAGAGTGATGCGGGATGAGTGTTTGATTTCCTCTGAAATCTCTGGGCTTTTGAAAGAACTGTGTCTGGCTGTAAATTATCTGTGTTGAGAATGGGATTTACCATTCCAGGATTAGCGCTATTCATATAATGAAATGGCCTTCAAAGGAGAACTTAAAGAAAGAATGTTTTAAAAGGAAGTTCTGATTGGAGCAATTGTGAAATCTTCAGAAATGACTCATCTCCCACTGAACTTCCTCTAGTGGCACAGCCAGAGTGAGGCAGGGTCAAAATAAACACATATTTATTGAGCATTTACGCCATGCTCAGCACTGTGATAGATGCTGCAGTGGCTGCAAAAATGTAAAAGTGGTCCCTGTCCTCAAGGACTTTAAAAGATATTATAGTGGGGATAGCAGCAAGAGTACTTCAGAACAATCCCGTAACAAACAGCTAAAGTGTGTACAACCTCCATTTGGTGTTTCTAACTGACACGTCACACAGAATTGAAACCGGTCAAGGGATGAGGACTTGGAGAGTAGTTTATGAATCACTAATGAGGCTTGGCTAAGCAAGAAAGCTGAGATTCTCCTTATACGCTGTCCTTCCCTCCCACAGGCTTATTCCAGACGCCTGGGATAGAGCAGCCAACTGGGATGGTGTGTGTTTGCCCACCCAATGCTTTTATCATTGGCATGACGCTTGTGCACACATTGGGAACCCTGCCTGTCACGGTCATTTCCCAAACTTTCAGTTTTCTTATAGGGGTACAGGCCTGTCTCCAATGTCACACTTCCCCTTTTTTGATACCAGTCATCTATTAGGAAGAAGAACAAGGTTGCACATAGCTTGTGTAGAGAAAACTTAGATGCTCATGCTTAAATGCCTCTGAGGTTGTAGGCCGGCATGTTAGAGTTCAGAGTCTGGGCCTGTTACCTTGAGAAAGACATTTGATCTTATTCTATTCAAATGAACAAGTTGGACCTGATGAACTCCAGCCAATGATGTCTCACTCCAACTAGCTGACCCCTCTCCTCCTGGAAGCAAGAGGCCCTAGCCCCTCCTGATGGAGAGCCATTTTATCTAATAAAATAGAGTCCATCAGAAAGCTCCCAACTGTCCTATTGGAGGTCACTGAGAGTTCAGTCATGGTTTTAGTCAAAGAAAAACCAAGTGGTTTGTTCCAGGATATGGTTGTCCCACAAATTCTTTCCCAGTATCAGCAGGTAATATTGGAATCCGGAAGTAGGATTGATGGACTGGGAGCAGGCTCCTGTTTTAATCACCTATGATTCAGTTCTTCATTCCACAGGCATGTGTTGGGTGGTTGTTATGTTCCAGGGCACTGTCACAGACACTGGCCTTAAACTCTTAAGAGTTAGCATTGCCATTACACAAGAAGGTTGATACCTCAAATGCTCCCTTAAATCAGAACTCTCAAACTGCTTCATCCTTCCTGGGATTCAGGCCTTGGGTCAAAGTGTTGAGTTGTGTTTACAGCCATTCACCTTGTGATATGTTGAAAACACCATCCAGAAGAGGGTGCTTTTTTGGTTTACATTAGGCATCTTCCTTAATCCCTTAGCAGACCTGCTGGCTATCCCAAGCAGTGTGACATCTCTCCCTCAGGCTTCCCACTCCAGTGCAGCCTCATCCAAAGGGTTCAAATATTACTTCTGGATTCCTGCATTACCTACAGCGCCAACCATGCTAGTGCTCATCCTGGTAAAACTCAGACCAAAGAGAAATACAAGAAAATGTGTTGTGCTTGGCTGATACTGGGAAAGAATTTGTAGGACAGCCACATCCTGGAACACACCATTGAACTTTTCTTTAACTAAAGGCATGGGTGAATCCTCAGTGGCCTCTAACAGGACAGTTCTTTCTGATGGACTCTATCTTACTGGACAAAATGGCACTCCACCAGGAGGAGCGAGGGCCCCTTGCTTCCAGGAGAAGTGGAGTCAACTAGTTCTTCCCTCTCCCAGTCATGTAGAAAACTCAGGAGATGGTTGTCAATAAGCAGTTGAAGTTGTGGTCCAAGGTGCACTGTTATTGGAGTGGTGAGACCTTTAAATCTGGGTTCCTTCATTTACTAGTTGTGTGATGTTAAACAATTTAATTTCTTTTAACTCAAATTTTCTTATCAATAAAACAAATTTACTGTCTATATACTAGGCTGTTGAAGAGAATCAAATGAAACCAAATACATGACAGATGTGGGTGAGGTAGAAAAGCACTAGGCAGGTGTGAATCAGTCCTGTTGGACATACTGCTGAGGTGGGTGACTGGTGTAATGGTTGCCTTCCTCAACTCAACCACCACCCCCTCTCTGAGGAGTTCCCGGGTCTCAAGATCCATGGTTTCTCATTTTATCCACTTGATGCTGTAGGCATAGGGCCTAGGGCTTAGGACTTTTCAGGGCTCCATTAAAATACTTAAGATATGTGAGACATGGAAAAAATATAAACTCAGAACATAACTACAATATTAAAAAAGGTTATGAATATTTAAGTAAATGTCTAAAATGTGTTTCTTTTAATTAGTCAACTGCAATGCAAATTAACTCTTACTGAGTTGTATATCAATTATTTTTAACATGTGATAAGGGTGCATCTTAATATGCTTGCTATGATGAAGGGTAGCACCGCCAAAAGGAAGTTTTTAGGGCCTGTGGGATATTAGGCAGCTCTGTCTATATCAATGGAGAATGTGAACCAGGAACAAAGACCTTTTCTCTAGTCTAAACCCACATTCACCTATTATAGTCTAGTATCACATCTATTGTTAACTGCATCACTAAATGCTCTTTGCACTTCTTTTCTTCCTTATCCGTATAAGCTACAGAAGATGAACTGGTTCTAGTTTTAGCCAACTCCAAGATTAGATGAGCCCACTTTCTGCATGTTTTGAGGGATGTTTATGTTTCAGGAAGGTCACCTCCAATCCCCTTCTCCCCATCGCCCACTCCTGTCCTTCTATTTTTATGGGCTGTGGGATATTCATGGGACTCTAGGTTATTTACAGGTATTTATTGAATTGTGAGACAGCTCTTCGGTCAATAGGCCTGAGGTGAAGCTAAGAGGCTTTGTGAAAACAGGTGGACAACATCCTGGGCTCCCTTCTGGCCCCCGCCGCCCTGCTGTCTGAACTTGGGCAAGCCCGTTCGCTGGCTGCTTTCTGTCTGCTTATCTGTGTAATGAGATGTGTAACGTCTCGGGGAGTGGATGATCAATAAGATCCAACTTTCACATTCTGGGCTTCTGATTGCACTTCTGAGTGACTCTGGGGTACAAGTGGTGTCATAGACACTCAATAGAGAGACACATCCATAACCTGCTCAGGGAGAGAGTTCAGTCTTCAGCTGACCTTGGCTTGTTCCTTTCGTCCAAGTTCAAACAACTTTTCAAATTCGGAAAGCAGTCTGATGGACTTGCCTGATGAAGTGTTGCATAAATTATGTGATTAAAAGCAATTGGAATGAAGCTCTTTCATCTCTGGAACAGAGAGCCACTTGACATTTATTTTTCCCCAGTTAATCATCCCACTTTTCCCACAGGGCTGTCTGCGATGGCGGATGAGGGAAGATGGCCTTGCGACTTACTCACTCTGTTGGTTGCCTTTGCTGCTGACACCCATCAGCTGCACTCTGCTTGCTCATAGAACCCTGGTTTGGTTCAGGTATTGGTGACTACTCTTTGGAGGATGGCAGGTCCCTGCGTAGGCCCAGGAGGTGGGAGAAAGTGGATTAGGTAATTCAATCACAGCAATTCCACTCCTTTTGCCAGTAATTTTGGGCTATAATTCCATCCACTGTGATGTGAGGGGAGATCTACTAGGGTGGAGAAACCAACTGGGGAAGGTTTTCTTCTTCTTTAAAAGGGATGCAAGGTAGCAGGGGTCCCTCTCTCCTGCCTCTGCAGGTCCCCGTGTGAGGACACAATGCTGGGACTGCAGCTGCTATCTAGACACCATGAGGACAAACGCCTGCAAGCTGAGGATAGTAGAGAGAGAAAATGGAAAGAACCTGGGTCCTCGATGACATTTTTGAGCCACTCATTTAAGTAACCTTGGAATGTCTCTGCTTTGGAAGCTCTTATTGTGAGAGAATAATTTGTCCCTGTTGCTCGAGGCCACCCTGTTTGGGTTTGCTGTTACAAAAGCCTGCCAACTGCTGATGAAGCTGCCTCTTTGGCGCCCACATTTCCCTCCGGCTTGGAGAGCGTTTGGGAGAAGGCAGCACTAAGGCAACGGTGCCCTCAGAGTGCAGGTCTCACGCTAGGGCTTTTAAACCCATCTGCAAAGGGCGGAGGGGAGGGAAGAAAAACCCTTAAAGCTGCCAGACAAAAAGCTAACATTTATTTGATTTCTTAAGTCTTTAACTTTGAAATTCATGTGAAATTTTTATTCTATTTCTTAATATCTTTTTCTTCATGTAAAACTAGTATTTTACCTACTTGCCAGTTGAATTACTTAAGTCCCCCACCCCTGCAAATTTTCAGTGTGAAGTAACACTACCCCGACCCCTGGGAGCGCCTGATGATGCCGACAGGTGGGGCGCCTGCTTCCAGGAGCAGTGTGTGGACAGAACTTGCAAAGGGCCACAGGTCCACTGCTGCAAACGTGGAAGAGATCTAAGCAAGAGGAAGTACCTTGGGAGGATGAGCAACCTTTCCTTCCTCCAGTCCTCAGCCTGGAAATTCCAGGCAGGTGGCAGTGACAGAGCGGAGCACAGACCACATTCCTACCTCAGATAAGGGCCACATAGGTGACTCCCGAAAGGGTTGAGCCATCACGGCTGAGAGCTAAAGGGACCTGCCCCAGGCCATTGCTCAACTCCAGGGACAGTGTCTCACTTGCACTGTGCCTCATCGACCCTGGCTGGCTGCAGTTTCAGTCCCATGAGAAAGGGATTATTTGGGGTAATTTGGTGACATTATTTTCGGTAAGTTCTTCCTGTGGGCCCCCCATCCAGACAGGCTCCTTTGTGGTGAAGTCTAAACTCTCCCTTCATGAAAAGCCCCCTAGAACGTCAGAATATCAGCTCAGCGAAGCCAGGGACTTCACCTGTCCTGTCCCCTGCTGGCTCCCCAGGGCCTAGAACTGCGTCTGGCACATGGTATGTGCTTCCTAAGTGTTCTTGGAATGACTGACTCTGCAGACATTGAATTGCGAATACTTCAAAGGCCATAGTGGAGCAGGAGAGAGGAAAGTGCTTTGAGGGCAACTGGGCTCTAGGAAGAGTTTGCACCAAAGGAATGGAGAGGAACAACTGAAGACGGGGCTGTGGAAGCCCGGGGCAGATCTCTGAAGGCCCACTCCCAGAGGTGCTGCTCTAGTCCTCAAGAGCCATATGGGAGGACACAGCTCCTCTTTACTTGTGTGAGCACTTCTGGGCTCCAGGCCTAGGCTAGGGGATGCTCTTGTGGGCCCGGGACAGAACTGTGCTCTATCCCCTTAGCACTGCACCCACGGCCCAGCCAGGAGGACCGAATCTGATGACAAGATTTTCCTCAGTCCCTGTTCTATTACCTTTTCCTGTTCAATTATCCAGCAAATTTTCAAGATGCTAGTAAACTCAAAGGGGGTGGTTTCCACATCTGGGAGGAAAGATTGTGGGAAAGCCCCCAAATTATTCCTGGTGAGAGGAGGTTTGGGAGGCAGTGCTGAACCATTCAACTTGAGATAGCTGAGCCGGCACAGCGGCGGCGGAAGGGACTCTTGTTAGAGACCATTCATGGGCCCTCTGTGCCAAGTAAGTGGCCAGCGGGCACAGCATCCCAGCCCCCGGTGACCTGGCTGTCTGCTTGGGGGCCTCTAAGTCCTCTGCCCTCTCTCCGTCTCCTCTACCTGGCCTTTCTCTCTCTGGGTTCAAAAACTTCTTGAATTTTTGGGCTCTGTTCCATCTGCTCACTCAGATACCCTGCCTCTCAAATGAGTAACCAAGGGAAGGAGAAATTGAGTCAAAGGTTCCTGGCTAATTATCTCAGCTGACATTATGTAAGCAGCGGGCACAGTGGTTGAACACAAGCCCTGGGGTCAGCCCAGCTGGGTTCCACTCCTGCTACGCCTTTACTAGCTATCTTACCCTGGACAATTCACTTAACCTTAGTAGACTGAGGCCTTCTCCTCCACAAAGGAGGTTAATGATAGAACATTATGGAGCTGTTCTGAGGATTAAAATAGACAATGTATGTAAGGCATTTAACACCCAGCTTGATATGTAGCAAGTGATCAGTAAATGTCAACTATTTTTATTTTTGCTTCTCCTTTTCATTCTTGCTTCTTATCTCTTTCCTAAGTTGACAAGTACCTTCGCCTCCTCACAGGATGAGTGTGTTTGCGGGGAGTAAAAGCAAGAATGGTAGGGGTCAGAGACATTCTTCTGTCTTATTTTTCAGGTCATCAGATAAATTTAAAAAAATACATATCACTATTCACTGAAGACCGGGCATTTCACATACTGTAGTGCGTTTGAAGCATGTCCACAAATTTTTGACACTCCTTTAAAAGAAGGAGGAGGCTAATCCCTCTTCCCTTGATTATGGGCTGGCAGTAGCCACTGGCTTCTAAGGAATAGAAGGCAGTGGAAGGAATGTGCATGACTTTCAGGGCCAGACTAGTAAAGGGGATATAGTTTCACCTGTACAAAAATACAGATTCTTGGGATGTGTGCCTTTGGAGCCCTGATCTGCCATGTAGGAAACCCAGTGACCCTGAAGGGGCCGAGCTGGAGAGCCTTATGGCGAGGTCCCCAAGCATAGGACAGATGCCTTGAGAGCCCCAGCTGCTGCAGCCCCCACTCTTGTCTTCCCAGTCCCCAGAGGGAAGCCATATGTGAATGAGAGAACCTCTAAAATGGCCCCAGCTCCAGCCACTGGCTGACTGCACCCTCCGGAGAGACCTCAGTCAGAGGAGCCTAGCTCCACCGCTCTCAAAATTCCTCACCCACAAAAACCATCATTGGGGTTCAAAGCTACTAGATTTTGAGCTAATTTGTCATGCATTAATAGATTAAAAAACACAGGTTATCAACTAATAACTGCATGACAGGTATTGCTATCTCAATTTTACAAATGAAGAGACTAAGATTTAGAGAATTTAAGATATACGAGTAGGATGACAGTGGGAAAGTCCAGAGCCGGCACGCAAAGGTCCACGTGACTCCAGAGCGGGCGCCCCATCCCCTGCGCAGGGGCGAGGGGGGCGGGGGCTGCCTCTTTTGACACAGGAGGAGGCTGAAAAAAATGGGGAAAAATGCTTTTTTCTGTATGGGCCTTTCAGGTGTCTCAGTATTCTGGGATTAAACACACCGTCGATCACAGCGTGTTTGGAAGATCACCGCCTGCTCGACACACTCTCACTGGGCTCAATGTGGGAGACTGGACGCCCGGCCTGCGGCTGGATGCTCGGAAGGCTCGGGGTCGGCCAGCGCGCTCAGGGCAGGGCTGCGGGCGGGAGGGGCGTTAGCAGCCCCAGGGGGCCCCCGAGTGCCCAGGGCAGGCCTGCAGCCCCTGTGAAGCAAGGAAGAGCCATGTGGTGTATGGTGAAAATGGTGGAGGGAGACGGGACAAAGAAGGCGGAGGAGTGGGGCAAAGCTGAGAAGGAGGGAGAGGAAACGCCACGACAGAAGCTCCAAAGAGCACTGAGGAAAGTACTCCTGGAGAGGACCATGAATGCTCCCTAGAGACACAGTAAGGCTCCCTGCTGCTCCTGAGGGACTCAACTTTCCATGGGTGTCCCGAGGTGATCTGGGCCACAGTCCAGGTTAGAATCGCCATCGTGACCTCGGAACCGCTGTCCTTCTAAGATGCGCGCACAGACATTTCTGAGAAGACAGGGTCTGCTCATTCAGGGTGACGTCTATCGAGCACCTTTATGTGCCGGGGACCAGCTGATAACGGGATGTATATAATATACATAAAACGTATTTTCTGTCTTGGAGGAGCTTGGGATCTGGGGGCGAATACTATTTTTTCGAGACCTATTGTGTGCCAACCCCTATAGAGGATGATTTACTCACGTTGTCTCACTTAATCTCGACGCCAATCCTATAAAATAGGCATTATTACCTTTATAAGTAACTGAACTTAGAGAAATGAAATAACATGCAGCAAGCAAGTGCTTGGGTTTTAACCTGGTTAGTCTAACTCTGAAGCCCATGGTCATTCCACTGCTGAGCCTGCCTCTCAGGTATGTGGGTCCACATTACATTTCTGTGTGGAGGGGTAATGGGACTGTGCACGGAAGGCTTTGAGGCTGCAGAAGAGGAAGAGGTTGGTTCTGCCTTAGAAGAGACCCACGGAGGGGATGCAGTGGTGTTAGAAGTTTTCAGATCTGGGCTGTGAAGGATGAGGAGGAGCTTGGTATTTGGAGGAGGGCGTTGTGGGCAGAGAGGGCAGTGTGTGAGGGAAGGAAGGCAGGGAGGTGACCCCTCAGAGACAGGCCTGGGCCCTGTGTTTCTTGTTGAAGGCTTATGGATGTCCCTGCAATGGAGGCACCGAGGTTTTTAAGCGGGAAAGGTACGTGGTCAGATTCGCCTTCTACAAATGTCAGCCCCGTGGCTCTGTGGAGTACTGCTGGGAGCAGCAAGGGTTTGGACCTTCTCCCTGGGCTATTGTACTGATCCCTGAACTTCAGAATTCTCCTGTTGAGATGTGTGATTCTTTCTCCTGCTTGCAAACCCTCTTCTCCCTCTGGGGCCCTAACTTACTGAACAGATCATATCATTCCTCTGCTCAAACCATGCCATAGTTTTCATGAGAGCAAAAGGCAAAGTCCTCACAGTGTCCAACAGGGCCAGTCACAAGCTGACCCCATTACCTCTTTGAGGTTTGCCCATCACTCTTCCTTTGGCTCCCGCTGCTGCAGCCACGCTGGCCCCCATGTGTTCCTCCAGCACTCCAGGCACACTCCCATGGTGAGGCCTTTGCCCCAGCCTTGCCCCTCACACATCCTCACCTCCCACCAGTCTTTGCTCAAGTCTTCCCTTCTCCATGAGGCCCAGCCTGACCACCATTTTCAACACTGCAGCCGCCCCTTCCCCTGTCCACTGCAGTCCTGGTCCTCTTTGCCCAGCTCTTCTTTTTTCTCCGTAGCAGCTATCACCTGGCGTGCAGTGTAATTGGCTTGTTATTATGTGTATTATTTATTGTCCTTCTTTCGTCCCCGTAGAAGGTAAGCTCATGAGGACAGGGATCTATTTGTCATTGCTGTTCATTGATGCAGGCATTACCCATGATTCTTCTGTGTCCAGTCCATCAGCAAGTCTCCAGACTTTGTCCTCCAGAGCCTGGAATAGTGCCTGATTTGTGGCCATCTTGCTTGCAGTTTTGTTAGCAATTTTTCTCTGGTTTAATCACAAAAGGGTACCCATTTATTAAGCAGATCATTGCACTCAGGGCCAGTCAGTGAAATGAAAAGAAGTAACTGGTCCAGTGGGGTTCAGCTCTCCATCCTGGCCTCAGAGGCACAGGACTCCACTGCCTTACCCGTAGCAATCAGACAAGGGATCCCGCATCCCCACCTTCATCTGCACCCCCATCCTCTGCCTTTCTGTCTCACAAGGTATGCAGCATCACATTCTTATCAAGGGCCGAGCCCTCCCCACTGCTCAGGCTCCTCAAAGACTGGCTTCTACAACCAAGCTTTTTCTCTCCTCTGAGTGGAGTGTCTCCATTCATGAGGTGGTAACCATCAGAATGCAAACGATATTTTCTATATTAAATCCATATCTCACATACTACCCATACACTTTTGGGTAAAACACTGGAAAAAACCTGACTTTAATTCCTTTCCTCACCTCTTTGTTTCTCCTTGGCCAAATCCAGTAAGGATTTGTCCTCCCCACTGTACTGAAACTGCTCTTGTCAAGATCACCAGTGCCCTCCGTCCTGCCAAATGCCATGGTCACTATTCTATCCTTATTTGATTTTACCTGTTGGCAGCTTCCTACACAGTCTTTGCTTTCTGTAAATTTATTGACTGAGTTTTTTCCCTAAACATTGGCCATTCGTTTTCATTGCTTTTTCAGGATCCACCCCCTCCCTCCATTAGACCTCTAAACATTAGTGGCTCCGGAACTGAATCTTTGACCCCATCCTCTCCTCTCCTCCCTCTCTGCCCTTCTCCCCTCCTTTCCCTCTCTCTCCTCCCATCCCACCTCTTCTCTATCAACACTTTCCTCCTAGTGATCTCAGCTAGTTTGAGTCTTCAGATGCCATCTATATGCTTTTAACTCCCTGACAATACCTCTGATCTCCAGAGCAGATTACCAGCTGCCCTCTTGACCTGTCTACTAGGTTGTTTGATAAACATTCCACACTGTTCATAGGCACCTTCACTTTTCCACCTTAGCCTCTTCTTCCCCGTTTTTCCTCCGTATCAGGGAAGTGTCTCTACCATACACTAAGGTGAATTAGCCCCAAACCCAGGCGTTGTCCTTGATTCCTCTCCTTTCCTCTCTTCCTCTACCCAACCCATTAACAAGTTGAGTTGATTCTGCCTCCAAGACATCTCTCGAATCTGTCTGCTTCTCCCCATCTCCACTGCCGCCACTCTGACCCAGTTTGACCAGCTCTCCTGGAGCACTGCAATAAGGGTGAAACTGGGGTCTCTACTCCATCCTTTGCCCCATCTGGAATCTAGCCTCTGCATAGGAGCCATATTTAAATCAGATCCCACCATTCACTGCTTAAAAACACTCCTGTGGCTTCCAGTAGCACCAGGAATAAAATACAGATGCACTGTCGTGGCCCACAAGGCCTCATGAATGTCCCTGGCTTTGCCTGACCTCACGTCATGGCACCTGCCCTGAGCCACCACGCTCCAGGCATTCTGACCTTCTTTCTCTTCCTTACACAAAAACAGGTTTATTCCAGCCTCAAGGCCTGCGCGCTCGCTGTTCCCTCTTCCTGAGACCCTGACCGCTGTCTCCTCTTCAGTGTTCAGACTCCAGCCTACTCTTTACCTGCCTGGGGGACGTGTCTTCAGCACTCCAACTAAAGCAGCACCCACCACCTCCTCAACCCTCCACTCTGCTTGTTATTCTGTTTTATGTTCTTGATAGCACTTATTGCTGTCGGAATTTGTCTGCTGGATTTATTTATTTCCTGTCTGTTTCAAAGAGTAGACTCAAATAAAAGCTTTGGGAGAGCAGGGATTTTGTCTGCCTTGTCCACTGCTCTGTTCTCAGTTCCCAAAACAGTGCGTGGCACTTATTAGGCCTCATGGTTTATATGTTAAATACACAAATGAACGAATGAATGAATGAATGAATACAGGGTTGAGAGAACATGCAGCCGCCTGTATGAGTACTTGGGGGATGGTGAGAAGGCTTTTTACTCCTCTGAAATCTTTCCATCTTGCCTCCTACTAATGCCTGAAGTTCCATTTTTAAAGAATAATGTTAACTTTTGCTTCTGGTTATGATTTATCTGTATAGCCAAAAACATGCATAAAACCTGGGGAAAATATGTAAAACAATTTTTATCTCTCCACTTTGGTCTTCTTTGTGTATCCAGAATCTAAGGGCTCATGCTTTTCACCAATTCTAGAAGAATCCTTGGGCATTATCTGTTAGATGTCGTCCACCCCTGTGCTTTCTGTCCTCTCTCAGGGGCTCATGCTGGACATTCACTTTCGAGCTCTATGTCATTTTCCTTCTCTTTCATATGTTTAATCTCTTTCTCTGTGCTGAATTCTGGATTCTTTCCTCGGATTTACCTTGGCTCACTAATTCTCCCTTCCCATGTGTTTAATCTGCTCTTTAATTTAGTTTTACATTCAATCACGCTATTTTTCCCTTCTAGAAGTTAATTTTTTTAAATTGCATGGTTTTTGATAGTTATTTTCTCATGTTTTAAATTTTATCTTTAATTAATTAATAAGCTTAAAACACATTTTTATAGTTAGCCAATAATCACATTATCTCAATCCTTAGGAGTCTGACTGGGCTTTTGTTTTTGCTGACTCTTGCTCATGGTGGCTTGTTTCCTCATGCTCTGTACTTCTCACTTTTGAGCTCATGCTCAGCTTGGCTTTATCTGTGGGATTCCTGTGGCATCTGTGCTGAGTACCGTCCCTCCAGGTATGGTTTATTTTAGCATCTGCTAAAAGCTTGAGTTTGTTACTAACCTAGGACCATTTTATGTGAATTTCTTAGTTTGGGGTTTCCAAGGAAACACAGAGAATGTAATCATGGACCCCAATCCATAGGCGGGCAGGCTGGGGTTATGGATTCTGAGAGGAGACTTTTTTCTAAAGAGCCCTGGATGATATGTGCAGGGATTATTTCATGCCCACTTTGTTGGCGAGCAGCTGTATTTTTTCCTTTGCTCACCTTCACTGAGGATGATATTTCAATGTTCTTGGCTTTATGCAGGAGTCTTGGCTTCATCCCTCCACCTTGTGTGGTTGAAGGGTTTGTCTCCTGCTCTCACATGGCTTTTCCACGGGCGAAGAGAATGAAAGTTATCCTCGGGGCAGTCTCATCTTCAACAATCTCCAGGGAACGCCCTTATTTCCATGCAAAGTCAGCTATACACTGGAGAGACTTGCTATGTGTGATCCAGTATTTTTATGTGCTTTTTGATGGCAAGGTTTGTATATTATCTAGTCTACTATATTTTCAGAGATAGAAGTCATCACTCTTATATAAGCCATGTATTAGTTAATGCTTCATGCCTTTATATATTGACTTTCCTATTATTGATAATAATTTTAACCCTTTAGAGAATTTTAAAGCTCACAAATCCTTTCCATATCTATTCACCCATAGGAATCATTGCCTTCTTTTTATAGACAAGGAAACTGGGCTCAGAGTTAAGTGACTTGTCTCATAATTAACAATTTTTTTATACCTGTTCGGTGTCAGGTACTATAAATATATTCTGGCAAAGGCTTACAGAAGACCCATGAAATGGGCGTTGTTTTCTGTGTCTCATGATTGAGAAAGCTCAGTGTCTGAAGGCTTATGTAACTCATTTAAGGTCCCATAGCTGGTCATACTCAGGCCTGCCTGATTCAGGAGCCGGTTCTTTCCAGTGCTGTCTCTGCTCATTCCATTTTGCCAGACTGCTTTCCTAGATGTGGGCTCAGTGAGGGCATTGATGCATTAGTGCGAATCTGTACTCAGAAAGCTCTTTACTAATAAATGTGTTCATTAGTTACCATCGTTCATTGGTTAGTTGCAAATGTGCTCTATGTGTTTTTTTCAATCTTAGTTACATCTGGGGGGAAAGTTCCTTTGGAGTCTTAAATGACCCAAATGACCCCAGACACTACCATTTACTGCTGTCACCTGCTAAAGGTGTAGAACTCTTGCCTAAGGATTCCTAGCTAGCATCTCAAGCTGTGGTTTTTAATCTTTTCTTGTTGAGCCATGAATTTATTTTTCTCATGCTGTTTCACACAGAATCCTAACATAAGTCAGATAAATCAGAGCAGTGGCACTTCCTAAGGACTACATACCGGCCTCCCACCACAGGTCACTTCATGATAAATTTGTAATCTCATAAAAAATATATAAACAAGTAAAAAAGAAATAAAAATCACTGGTTTTGATAAACATATTCATCTGTCTACTAAAATAGCTCCTGATTCTTAGTTTTTAGTTTCTACTATTTGTATCTATATAATTATGTGAGCCCAGGACATTGAAAAACCATGTCTCTAAGAAAGAAAGAAGAAATTGCCTGTACTCTGAACCTGATATGCCGTACCAGTGCTCTTTAATTCAGTCCAACATCCTAATTTGTCAGTCTCAATGAAACAACATAGCATCGATCAGCCAAAGTCGGAGGTAGGAAACTTGAGACTTCAAAAGAAATCTCTCCTCTCGGTAAGTCGCTTTGTCTTCTCATGGGGAATGCATCTTTTTTCTCTGCCCCTCTGGATACTTCCATGTAAAAGTTTTGGGAGGCCCTGCCTCAGGTCATTCTAAAGCCAGGAGTTTGGACTCTAAAACCCGAGGTCTTTCCATTATACAACATACTTCCTTGGTCCTTCCTCTTTTCCCCAGCCTGAGATCAACATAACTCTATTTCTTATTTGAGACCCAAATCAAGTCTCATTTTCTCTCAGAAGTGGCTCTTGGCTGTCTCTATTCATAAAGATTTTTCTGTCCTTTGAACTTAGAGCTGACACATGACTACAATCCCACTCAAGATATATCCCTTGGGTACCTTTTCTATCTATCTGCCCCGTTCCTTTAAAGGCTATATGACATCTCATTATTTGTATAGCATACTGTTTTTATTGAAACATATTGAAAGACTTTTATCTTGGTACTACATTTTGGTATTACAAACGATGTGTTGATTATCATGGCACTTTCATCTTGGCATATTTGTTCCAATAGATATGTAGGGTAAATTCTTACTATTAAAGCCATTGGGTTAGAGGGCCGTGGACATCACATGTTTTTGATAGCTACTAGCAGTTATACGAGAGTGGCTGTTTCTGCACACCCTCACCAATATCAGGTGTCATACATAGTTAGATAGAATTTATTTGGTTTATGTGTGTTAGGTTAGGTAATAAATATGTGTACACCCTTTTCTTTTTTCTCTAGAGAAAGGACTTTTTAGGTGTTGTGACACTGAACAAATTTCATCTCTCTGAGTCTCAGTTTTCTTATCTGAAAAATGGGGTTAAGCACACCTTAAGAATATTTATAGATTTGTTGTCAAGATTAAATAATACAATGTAAAAAAAGGACTTGACTCAATATTTGGCAATGCCCAATAAATGGCAGGAACATTCTTCTTGTGTTCTCTGTAGCACTGGAAACACATGACACTCAATGAAAACAAGAGGAGGAAAACCAGTTCATCACTATGGTACCCATCATTTTCTGACTGTTGAGCACATCCAGATGCCATTGTAAGTTCTTCACTTATTGGCTCATTTAATGCTATTAAATGTGCTATTATTATCCTTATTTTACACCAACTTTAGCATTACAAGCTATTTGGGAATGGATTTGGGATTGAAACCTAGGCAGTCTGAATATAGAACTTGAGATGGTAAGTAGTCCACCTTTCGGAAATCAGATGCTGTACAACAGGTTGCTCACCTTTTGCTCACCTTAGGCTGACGTGCTGCCTTGGGAGCCGCCATCTTACTAAGGCTGGTCGGCTTCCTCAGCAGGCTTCACCATTCCTCCCTTGGTGTGATATCACACTTAGAAGTGCCACCTGTTGTGGTTCAAAAAAAACACTATAATTAAGGAAGACAGTCAGAGGAAAACAATAAGCAAAGTAAAAAAAAATCGCAAAGTAAGAAAAGTAAAAAGAAATATCACAATTTATTCAAACACTGATTTGATACGTACTGGATACTATATAAAGCCCTACATCTAAAGATAAAGCTCCACGTGAGTCTCCTCAGCCAAATTTTACAGTAGTCCTTTAGCAGCATGCCTTCAATAAGTCATGGGCTTGTGTGTTTTCATGTGAGTATTTAAAACGGTGTTTTAAAATAAGTATAAATATTCATTGTTTGGCCTCACCTTCTAGAATTTCTGTGTCGGCGTCAGGAGGGGAAGACTGTAGTAAGAATTGTGCATCTTAATTTTGAAATGGAGAACATTCCCCAAAGCCCAAAGCATACAGGTGATTTTATTTTAAGGCGGGGATGATAGACGATGGTGATCTTTCTCATTTTACAAATGAACATTGAGGCTGCGAATGTCAGACAGCAGGTGGGAACTTTTGTTGTGCTATCAGGACAAAGGGAAGCAGGTTTGTGGAGCGTGACCTTGGGCTTTCAAAAGGGATCCTGATTCAAAATTGATAAACCTTTAGCTAGACTCACTAAGAAAAAAGAGAGAGAAGGCTAAAATAAATAAAATTAAAAATGAAACGTGAGAAATTACAATGGATTCCACAGAAATACAAAGGATTATAGAAGAATACTATGAAACCTATATGCCAACAAATTGGATAACCTAGAAGAAATAGATAAATTCTTAGACTCATACAACCTCCCAAAACTGAACCAAGAAGAAATAGAGAATCTGAATAGACCAAACACAAGTAAAAGATTGAAACAGTAATCAAAAACCTCCCAAAAAACAACAGTCCAGGACTAGATGGCTTCTCTGGAGAATTCCACCAAACATTCAAAGAAGATTTAATACCTATCCTTCTTGAACTACTTTTAAGAATGAAAGAGATAGAACACTTCATAACTCATTCTATGAGGCCAACGTTACCCTGATCCCAAAACCAGACAAGAGTAGCACAAAGAATAAAATTACAGACCAATATTGCTGAAGAATATAGATGCAAAAATCCTTAACAAAATTTCAGCAAATCGAATACAGCAATGCAATAAAAGGATTATACGACATGACAAAGTGGGACTTATACCAGGGACACAGGGATAGTTCAACATCCACAAATCAATGTGATACACCACATTAACAGAATGGGGAATAAAAATCACATGATCATCTCAATAGATGCAGAGAAAGCATTTGATAAGATCCAACATCCATTTATGATAAAAACTCTCCATAAAATGGGTATAGAAGGAAAGTGCCTTAACATAATAAACACCATATATGACAAACCCACAGCCAACATCATACTTAATGGTGAAAAACTGAAAGCCATCCCTCTGAGAACAGGAACAAGACAAGGGTGCCCACTCTCGCCGCTTCTATTCAACATAGTACTGGAGGTTTTGGGCAAAGCAATTAGGCAAGAAAAAGAAATGGAAGGAATCCAAACTGGAAAGGATGAAGTAAAATGCTTGCTGTTTGTGGATAACACGATTCTATATCTAGAAAACCCTAAAGAATCCACCAGAAAACTATTAGAAATAATCAACAACTACAGCAAAGTTGCAGGGTACAAAATCAACTTATAACCATAAGTTCCGTTTCTATACACTAATAACAAACTAACAGAAAGAGAAATAAAAAATACAATCTCATTTATAGCTGCAACAAGAAAAATAAAATATCAAAGAATAAATTTAACCAAGGAGGTGAAAGACCTATACACTGAAAACTATAAGACATTATTGAAAGAAATTGAAGGAGACATAAAGAAATGGAATGATGTCCCATGTTCATGGATTGGAAGAATAAACATAGTTAAAATGACCATCTACAGATTCAATGCAATCCTGATCAGAATCCCTAGGACATTCTTCACGGAAATAGAACAAAGAACCCTAAAATTTATATAGAACAACAAAAGACCCCAAATAGCCAAAGCAATCCTGAGAAAAAAGAAAAAAGCTAGAGGCATTACAATCCCCGACTTCAAAATATACTACAAAGCTACAGTAATCAAAACAGCATGGGCTGGTACAAAAACAGACACACAGATCAATGGAACAGAATTGAAAGCCCAGAAATAAAACCACACATCTATGGACAGCTAATTTTTGACAAAAGAGCCAAGAACATACAATGGAGAAAGAAAAGTCTCTTCAGTAAATGGTGTTGGGAGAACTGGACAGCCAGACGCAAAAGAATGAAAGTAGACCATTGTCTCACACCATACACATAAATTAACTCAAAATGGATTAAAGACTGGAATGTAAGACCTGAAACCATAAAACTCCTAGAAGAAAATATAGGCAGTAAACTCTTTGACGTCAGTCTTAGCAACATCTTTTCAAATACCATGTCTACTCAGGCAAGGGAAACAAAAGAAAAAATAAACAATGGGACTACATCAGACTAAAAAGCTTCTGTAAGGCAAAGGAAACCATCAACAAAATGAAAAGACAACCCACCAAATGAGAGAAAATATTTACAAATCGTATGTCCGAGGAGGGATTAATTTCCAAAATATTTAAAGAACTCGCACAACTCAACAACAACAAAACAAACAACCCAATCAAAAAATGGGCAGAAGATATGAACAGGCATTTTTCCAAAGCAGATATACAGATGGCCAACAGGCACATGAAAAGGCATTCAACATCACTAATTATTAGGGAAATGCAAATCAAAACTACAATGAGATATCACATTACACCTCTTAAATTGGTTATAATTAACAAGACAAAAAACAACATATGTTGGAGAGGATGGGGAGAAAAGGGAACCCTCATACACTGCTGGTGAGAGCGCAAACTGGTGCAGCCACTATGGAAAACAGTATGGAGATTTTTCAAAAAATGAAAAATAGAATTACCATTTGATCCAGCTATCCCACTACTTGGTGTTTATCCAAAGAACATGAAATCAACAATTCAAAGAGATCTATGCACCCTTATGTTCATTGCAGTGTTGTTCACGATGGCCAAGATGTGGACGAAACCTGAGTGCCCATTGATTGACGAATGGATAAAGAAGATATGATATATATGTATATACGATGGAATACTGCTCAGCCTAAAAAAAGACAAAATTGTCCCATTTGCAACAATAGAGATGGACCTTGAGGGCATCATGTTAAGTGAAATAAGCCAGACAGAGAAAGAAAAACCCTGTATGATTTCACTCATATGTGGAAAATAAAGAAACACACGGATAAGGAGAACAGATTAGTAGTTACCAGAAGGGAAGGGGGTAGGTGGGTGAGCAGAAAGGGTGAAGGGCCACATATGTGTGGTGATGGATAAAAGCTAGACTGTTGGTGGTGAGCACAACGCAGTCTGCACAGAAACTGATAAATAATAATGTACACCTGAAATTATACAATGTTATAAACAATATGACTCCAAGAAAATAATTTTTTTAAAAATCAAAAGAAAAAAAGTATAGTCACACAGAAAAGTAATCTGGAAGGTTATATGACACAATATTAACTCCATGTGGTGAGATTAGAGGAAATCTTTATATGTTAAAAATATCTTTCTGATTTGCTTGAAATTTTTTAATGAGAATCCATTCCTTTCATCATCAGGAAAATGATGAAGCCATTAATTAAGAAAGAAAATGAGTGGTGAGCACAGGAGGCTCTGCCTTCCTGGCCCCACTGTAGACTAATCTAGGCCAGGCTCGCTGCCCTCCTATCAGTCCTGCTGGATTGCATCTCAGATTAGTTGGCGTTCTTGAGTTCTTCCTCTTACTGCAGCCCAGATGAGATGTCTTCTGCTTCTGCTTCGTTCTGTGAACTGATGGGAGGTCCTGGAATTATCATCAAATGGAGTTCCAGCCAGGTTCCCTCTGCCATCCGATCTTAGTCTATCTCTGTGCTCAGCACGACACCTCAGAGGAATTCCAGTCCGCCCTGTTGCACGGAGTCATAGAAAAGGAAAGCTTTCGAATTGGGTAGCTCTGTGTTGGGGTCATAGTTCTGCCACTCGGTCTGGTTATTTAACCAGCCTGAATTTCAGTGTCCTTATCTATAGAGTGCAGACAATAATACTATCCTTTTTTGTTTTTTAAATATTAGAGAGAATGTACACAGTGTTTACCAAAGAAGTTGTCATTCACTCATTTTACAACAGCCATTCGTTGTGCATTTATTTATGCCGTGCACTCTCTGGGCACTGGCGAGACACAGAGTCTACATTTCTTTTAGAGGAATATGTGTTTTTCAACTCTTTTTTTCCTAAGAAAGTCATTGTTTTATTTCGTTTAATATATACAACGTATTTTCTCTTTAAGCACAATGTAGACCTCACTATATTGTTTGTGACTTTTATTTTTTTTCAGTTTTATTAAGAAGTAATTGACATACAAAGACTATATTTTAGTGTAGAACATCCTCTGCGTATGACCTTTCAACTTATTAGTTTCTATGGCTACAAAGGTATGCGCATAGCTGAAGCATATCAACTGCCCCCACGAGAGATGTTCTAGCAGGCACCTGTGGCTGTCCTGTTTGCCATCATTCATGGCTTAAGGTATCTTTCCTGGGTTTTGCTTTTTTTTTTTTCCTGAAAGGCCAAGCAAAACAAAAAGAATGAACTAAAAAAGCTGTGATATTTAATACCACTTTGATATTACAGGCATTCAGTTTTATTGAAAAGCTACTTTCATTGTTCAGACATCAGGAGCCTGACTTAGAAAGATTTATAAAAATTTTCATAGTTGTTGAAGACTGGTTTCTTCTTATCAATTTTATATGCAGTGAAAATAATAAAGACAAAATAAGATCATCTTTTTAAGAGAGCTGAAATCAAAAAGAAGAGTTGGAACTGATACTGTCCATGTCTATGGTTCTCTTGGGGAATTTCAGTTTTTATAGCTAGCTAATAGTGTTGACAATTATTGAACAATGTATCAAATACTGTTCTAAGTGTATGAACTAATTTAATTCTCATACCAAAGAGATATAGTTATTTGCTCCCCTCCATCTTAAAGATGAGAAAACTGAGGCACAGAGAGTTTACATAGACAGGTCACAGGCAGTAAATGGCAGAGTAGGGATTTGAACCCAGGATGTTGGGCTCTGGAAGCCGCACATCCTTGTGCCATATTGTTTATGCATGTTGGTTACTATAAGACCTCACTATAGACTTATGAAAAAAAGGACTGATTAACAACTTTTTGAAATATAATGTGCTCATTGGTAGAGCAACTCCTGACTGGACGCAAACTCCTAACTACAGTGGTAGGGATGCTAATGGTAGTTGCTTTGCCAGAATCACCCGTGGAACACCCACTATTCTATTGGTGAAGATCTCCTGAAACTCAGAGAGATGTTCAAATTGAATTAAAATGTTAATCAACTAAAAACAGCAAAGACCCTTTAGGATACTTGGAAAGGGCTAGAAGTTACTGAACTAACTGGCAGTCTGGGACTCAGAAAGAAGTCAAAGGAGTGAGAAATGAAGCGTAAATCAAGTCATCACGAGTAATCTCTTTCTCACGGTGGGACAACTGAGAGCAGGTGTTGCCTGTCTGCCTCCAGGTTCTTTGCTTTTCCTCTACAGCTTGACCCACAA